GCCATCAGCGCCGATTGCGCCCCGCCTCCCAGCCACTGCCCTACCCCCGCCATGCTTTGCACCCTACCGCAGACTCCCAGCGCCGATTGCGCCCCACCTCCCAGCCACTGCCCTACCCCCGCCATGCTTTGCACCCTACCCCAGACTCCCAGCCACTGCCCTACCCCTGCCATGCTTTGCACCCTACCGCAGACTCCCAGCCCACCCCGCCCTGCGCTCGCACCCCACCCAGCCACTGCCCTACCCCCGCGATGCTTTGCACCCTACCGCAGACTCCCAGCGCTGATCGCGCCCCACCTCCCAGCCACTGCCCGGCCCAGCTTCCATCTGGCACCCAGCCAGAAAAACAGACACTGCACATGTCCGGTATTGTCTGAGATTGTTTACTGGCCAGAGGGTCCAAAAACCAGACTGTCTGGTAGAATACCGGACACCTCGCAACCCTACTTATGCCTCCTCCTCCCACTGCTGAGTGACCTGTCTGTCGGAGGGTTTTCTCCTGCTGCCCATCACTGCACTAGCTGAACACCTTCCACCTGAATCAGTCACAACGGTGAAGTGCCCAGTGCAATGAATGGAGTGCTTTGCAGAGTACTTTTTTTTTTTTTTTAAAGAGGCCTTTGAGAAAACCTCTTTGTGGTGTAAGAATCGAGCAGGACTTCTCATGGGCCCAACCCAGATGTAGCACTGCCCCAGTTCTTCACTTGGTGCATGGGGTCTCACTGCCATTCACTCAAATTGGACCCCACCATTGCTCCGTCAAACAGAGGTGCAGCTGAGCCAAATGGTGGAAGGACAGTGGGCTACATTTCAAAGAGTGGTGCTGGATCTGGGGGCAGTAGTCACAGCACCACTCAGGTTTGCGTCAGAGAGGCTGGGTGGCAAGGAGGTGTGTTGCAGGGCAGGCTCACCACCCTGGCGCCTCCAGCCAGCCATCCTGGGAATTAGCTCTCTTGCCTCGCTGGACACAAGGGCAGGGGACCGGACTCAATGACCTCTCAAGGTCCCTTCCAATCCTAGTTTTCTGTGATTCTCTCTCCAGGTGGTGTCTCGCTGCATTTCTCCTTGGTCACAGCATCCTCTTCCAGACACTACCCTCCTGCAGTGTCCACACCAGTGTCTGAGCCCCCCTTCTGGGGGTTGTTGTTTACTCTGCTCACACCCCAGGGTCCTCTCTTTCCCAGGGCACCCTGTTCTGCTCCCAGGGAGCTCTCAGTTCCCTTGTACCCACCTTGCCGCAGTGACCCCCTGCCAGTCTTCATCTAACCCCTGCCTCAGGACAAACTGCAGTCTGAAATGGCCACTCATCACTGGCAGAGTGGTGTTGACCTGCTCCCCCTGCCTACCATGGCTTCCTCACCACAGCCCTCGGCCTTGCTTCAGGCCCTACAGCCTGGGAGCTTGCTTGCTTGCCAAGCCTCCTGCTTCCCTCTAAACAGCAGACTGCTCTCCTTTATATAGCTCCCAGCTCGGCCCTCATTAGCTAGAACTGCCTCAGCTGGGGCTTTGCTCTCAGCTCCTGCTCGGGGCTGGGGTTTTGCCCTTAAAGGGCTAGTGCAGGGCAAGCACCCTGTCACACAATCTTCCGTTATGTCCGGGACTTCCCTTGCCCCACTTGCCTCTAGTCTGGGTCTCCGGTGTCCTTCCCCAAGGGCCCTAGCTACCCTCAGGTTCTTCCTAGCCGCCTCTGAGCATGTGCAGCAGAGACGGTGCGCCAGCTGATGCTCTCCCCAGAGAATTGTAGCGGCGCAGCTGTCAGTGCAGGGCAACGGCGCCCCATCACAAGGTGATACATGCGCCTTGCCAGAGGGCAGACGAAGGGACATAGGTGCATGTATCTCCTTGGCACACGCCTTGCCAGTGGGCAGACGAAAGGACATAGGTGCATGTATCTCCTTGGCACGCGCCTTGCCAGAGGGCAGACGAAGGGACATAGGTGCATGTATCTCCTTGGCACGCGCCTTGCCAGAGGGCAGACGAAGGGACATAGGTGCATGTATCTCCTTGGCACGCGCCTTGCCAGAGGGCAGACGAAGGGACATAGGTGCATGTATCTCCTTGGCACGCGCCTTGCCAGAGGGCAGACGAAGGGACATAGGTGCATGTATCTCCTTGGCATGCGCCTTGCCAGTGGGCAGACGAAAGGACATAGGTGCATGTATCTCCTTGGCACGCGCCTTGCCAGAGGGCAGACGAAGGGACATAGGTGCATGTATCTCCTTGGCACGCGCCTTGCCAGAGGGCAGACGAAGGGACATAGGTGCATGTATCTCCTTGGCACGCGCCTTGCCAGAGGGCAGACGAAGGGACATAGGTGCATGTATCTCCTTGGCACGCGCCTTGCCAGAGGGCAGACGAAGGGACATAGGTGCATGTATCTCCTTGGCATGCGCCTTGCCAGTGGGCAGACGAAAGGACATAGGTGCATGTATCTCCTTGGCACGCGCCTTGCCAGAGGGCAGACGAAGGGACATAGGTGCATGTATCTCCTTGGCACGCGCCTTGCCAGAGGGCAGACGAAGGGACATAGGTGCATGTATCTCCTTGGCACGCGCCTTGCCAGAGGGCAGACGAAGGGACATAGGTGCATGTATCTCCTTGGCACGCGCCTTGCCAGAGGGCAGACGAAGGGACATAGGTGCATGTATCTCCTTGGCATGCGCCTTGCCAGTGGGCAGACGAAAGGACATAGGTGCATGTATCTCCTTGGCACGCGCCTTGCCAGAGGGCAGACGAAGGGACATAGGTGCATGTATCTCCTTGGCACGCGCCTTGCCAGAGGGCAGACGAAGGGACATAGGTGCATGTATCTCCTTGGCACGCGCCTTGCCAGAGGGCAGACGAAGGGACATAGGTGCATGTATCTCCTTGGCACGCGCCTTGCCAGAGGGCAGACGAAGGGACATAGGTGCATGTATCTCCTTGGCATGCGCCTTGCCAGTGGGCAGACGAAAGGACATAGGTGCATGTATCTCCTTGGCACGCGCCTTGCCAGAGGGCAGACGAAGGGACATAGGTGCATGTATCTCCTTGGCACGCGCCTTGCCAGAGGGCAGACGAAGGGACATAGGTGCATGTATTTCCTTGGCATGCGCCTTGCCAGAGGATGTGGTGAAGGCCAGGACTTTAACAGGGTTCAAAAAAGAACTAGATCAATTCATGGAGGTGAGGTCCATCAATGGCTATTAGCCTGGATGGGTGGGAATGGTGTCCCTGGCTCTGTTTGTCAGAGGCTGGAAATGGAGGACAGGAGAGGGATCATGTGACGATTACCTGTTCTGTTCACTCCCTCTGGGGCACCTGGCAGAGTACTGGGCTACATGGACCTTTGGTCTGACCCAGTATGGCTGTTCTTATTGTATAGCTGGGGTTGATCCATTAATTGCTATGAAAGGTAAGACAGGGGCCTTAAACCAGCATCTGAAGTTCACTGGGAGAGACTTAAGCACAGGCTGGATATGCTCAAAGTCGCCTGAGTCATGGAGAAGGTGGGGAGTCATGTTCTGCACAAGATAGAGACTGTTTATCATTGTCACATTCAGCTTCAGATTACAGTAAATCAGCTTGGTGGTGACCAATGCAGGGATCGCTGTTGCTAAGTCCTTATCTGGGAGCAAGGTATAACATTTAATGAGCTAGAGCAGGAGAAGGCGTTTTTGGAATTGATGCTGCCCAGTCACCCAATTTTAGTGAAGAGTCAAACAGGATCCTGAAACTTCACAGCACTCTGATGACCTATGAGGAGAGGCTGAGGGACTTGGGTCTGTTTAGTCTGCAGAAGCGAAGAGTGAGAGGGGATTTGATAGCAGCCGTCAACTTCCTGAAGGGAGGTTCCAAAGAGGATGGAGAGAGGCTGTTCTCAGTAGTGACAGATGGCAGAACAAGGAGCAATGGGCTCAAGTTGTGGTGGGAGAGGTCCAGTTTGGATATTAGGAAAAACTATTTCACTAGGGCTATGTCTAGACTGCAGGCTTCTTTCGAAAGAGGCTCTTTCGAAAGCATCTTTCGAAAGAGCCTCTTTCGAAAGATCGCGTCTAGACTGCAGGCGGATCTTTCGAAAGAGAAATCCGCTTTTTCGAAAGAGAGCACCCAGCGAGTCTGGATGCTCTCTTTCGAAGACGGCCTCTTTACATTGAAGAACGCCTTCTTTCGAAAGAGGAACTTTCGAAAGAAGGCGTTCTTCCTCGTAAATTGAGGTTTACCGCCATCGAAAGAAAAGCCGCGTTCTTTCGAAATAATTTCGAAAGAACGCGGCTTGAGTCTGGACGCAGGGGAAGTTCTTTCGAAAAAAGGCTACTTTTTTCGAAAGAACCCCTGAGTCTGGACACGGCCTAGGAGGGTGGTGAAGCACTGGAATGGGTTCCCTAGGGAAGTAGTGGAGTCTCCATCCCTAGAGGTGTTTAAGTCTTGGCTTGACAAAGCGCTGGCCGGGTTGATTTAGTTGGGATTGGTCCTGCCTAGAGCAGGGGGCAGGACTTGATGACCTTTTGAGGTCTCTTCCAGCTCTATGGTTCTATGATTCTATGAAAGGGAGCTACACACCTCTGATGGAGAGATCATCTCTTGGGCCTAGCTCCTGCGAGTGTTTAACACGGTGGAAGCCAGTCTTTAACATGGGGCTATTCGGCATGGCCTAGATGTGTGAAATGGACTTGTCTGTGCAGAGATGGGGCTACAGGGCTACACGGGAGCAGGCTGGGCATCTGGTTGAGCTCCCCATTCTACCTGAGTTGGTCAAAGCACATTCCCATCCCCTTTCTCTCCTTTATGTCCAGGCTTCTGGGTGTCTCTGAAAATGCTGTGGGGAGACCTGAATCAGGTGCGAAAAGATCATCCTCATTTGGTGGACCGCAGCACAGTTGTGGTCCGCAAGTTAGGCTTCCCAGAGATTATCATGCCAGGTGAGTGAAGAAGGCACCACAGGCTCAGGTTAGTAATTTTATCCCAATCCAGACTCAGCTACTGTCTCCCAGAGTCCTGGTGGCACTGGCCACAGCTCTATGCCACAGCTTTAAACAGTCTCTTGAAGGAGTCACTTTAGGCTATATCTGGACTATGCTTTATTTTCAAAAGAGGATCTCACTTTCAAAAGCAGGTCTTTTGAAAGTGAAAGTAGTCTGGATGTGGGGTTTTTTTGGGGGGGAAAAACCCCTTTTTCAAAAAACCATGTAAATCTCATGTTTAAAGAGCGATTTTTCGAAAAAGGGTTTTTTCCCCCCAAAAAACTCATCCAGATTACTTTCACTTTCAAAAGACCTGCTTTTGAAAGTGAGATCCTCTTTTGAAAATAAAGCATAGTCCAGATATAGCCTAAAGTGACTCCTTCAAGAGACTGTTTAAAGCTGTGGCATAGAGCTGTGGCCAGTGCCACCAGGACTCTGGGAGACAGTAGCTGAGTCTGGATTGGGATAAAATTACTAACCTGAGCCTGTGGTGCCTTCTTCACTCACCTGGCATGATAATCTCTGGGAAGCCTAACTTGCGGACCACAACTGTGCTGCGGTCCACCAAATGAGGATGATCTTTTCGCACCTGATTCAGGTCTCCCCACAGCATTTTCAGAGACACCCAGAAGCCTGGACATAAAGGAGAGAAAGGGGATGGGAATGTGCTTTGACCAACTCAGGTAGAATGGGGAGCTCAACCAGATGCCCAGCCTGCTCCCGTGTAGCCCTGTAGCCCCATCTCTGCATTAGTGTGCTGGCCCCTCAGGGGAACCCATGCTTCTTTAAGGATAGGCCACACAACCACATCCCCTCCAGAACGGAGCCTCTGGTCTCCAGCACACCTGCCCCACACCGAGAGCGCTTCTCAGTGAGTCCAACTGAGCTAGACACGTGTCCGCTCTGCAGAGACTCATGCCCCTTTGCAGAGGCACCACAGCAGCATTTCCAAGCAGAGTAGGGTTGATTACGCAAGTCGAAGCTAGCAGAGACAAAGGGGGAGAGCACCAGCCAGTCTTGCCAAGCCTCCGCTGACTCCGTGCTCAGGCCTTGTCTCCCTCTCTGATCTCCTTAGTAGGTTCCAGTAGAAAGCAGCAGGCTTCTTCCATAGCCCGCACCTTGTCCCCTGTTGCTCGCCTGCCAGCCCTTGGTTCTCCAGGCAGGGTGGTGCTGAGTTCACAGCCCCTACTAGGAGGCAGGGCAGAGCTCCTTTCTTTGGGCTGCTGATTGCTAGGTGTCAGTGTTCTGCCCCCTGGGCTTTTCCATTGTTTTCTCACATTTTCCACTGACAGTCCCTTTAATGACCCATTCAGTCTCAGACAGCGAGGTGTTACATGTACCTGTGCCTCTTAGTCTGTCCTGAGAGCACTTCCCCCCACCTCCCTGCATAAAAATGGCAAGTACTGAGAAAACTGAGGCACACATGGGCATGATAAAAATATTACCAAAAATTCCCACTTGGTCATCTCAACATCCTCCTCATTTTAGCCGAAGAATTGGTCAAACCTGCGTAGCCCTTTGTGCTTTGGGGTGGGCGAGCATTGGGCGGTGCTGGAACCCCTGTAGCAGCTCAGGCATGACCTCACTGGGCCTCGCCCTGTGGCTCTCCCCAGGAGACATCAGGAACGACATTTACCTCACGCTTGTGCAGGGGGAGTTTGACAAGGGGAACAAGAAGACACAGAAGAATGTGGAGGTGACAGTATGTGTCTGTGACGAGTCTGGGAACCCGATGCAGGTGAGCATGCCCCAGCCTGGCCTGCTGGCAGAGGTGTAGTGGGAGCAGTGTGATGTGGGAGTGCGGAAAGAGGAAAGCCCAAATCTTGTGGGATTAAGTCTGACTGTGGCAGAGCCTTTGGCGGTGACTCAGGAGCAGCCAGGAACCCTTGGGTTAACTTCATAGACTTTAGAAATGCTATGTAGAGCCACGCCCATTCTGGATCTGAATTGCACGGACCAGGCACACACGCCTGCCTGGGACCTCTCTGGAAGCGGCTTTGCAGTAATGCTCGGAGGCAATGACCACATAGGAATTCTTGGCCATCTTCTGCGCCCAGCTGGTTGCAGTGTTCTTGCCTGGGCGTTTCCTTTTGTTTCTGATTAGACTCTCAGCTGATACATTGGCTGTGAGGCGTGATAATAATCCAGAGACGCAATCCCTTCTTCCACCCTACTCTCTTTCTCTATCTGTGCTAATTATTTTCTCATGGGTACTGCACTCATCCCTCCCATAGGGGGAGCTGTCGAGTCCCTAGGACTCTCGAAATCACACCCCAACCCTGTGCATACTGTAACTCAACTGCTGTTCTAAACTGACAGCCCTCTCGCTGAGCACAGTGCAGCCTA